GGAAGGCTGAGGCGGAAGGACCGCCGGAGCCCAGCAGGTTGAGGCTGTGGTGGCCGGGAGTTTGCCACAGCAGTTCAACCTGGACGAGAGTGAGACTCCACTAAAAACAAAAAAAAAAAACTCAGATTGCATCTCTTTCCTGCTTACAGCCCTCTGATGGCTTCCACCCCATGTAGGATAAAACCCAGAGATCCCTGGCTTAGGAGGCTCGGCACACAAGGCCCACAGCCGGCGGCCTCCCCACCTGCTCCACCCCACGCCCTTCACTCATCCTTTCCTGCCACACCTGCCTCCGGATCCTGAACAAGCCACAAAGGCTCCCACCTCACAGCCTTTGCAGTGAGCATTCTTCCTGGAAGGCTCCTCCCCCAGATATTTGCATGTCTCGTGGCTTTATCCTTCATTTCATTCAGTTCTCTACTCAAAATATAGTGGACTTCCCTCACAAAGAATGGCCTACCCTCAAGCCTTCCCTCAGAGTGGCCTTCCCTCAGAACGGCCATCCTTCAGAGTGGCCTTCTCTCCCGGTGGCCTTCCCTCAAGGTGGCCTTACCTGAGCGTGGCCTTCCCTCAGAGAGAACTTACCTCAGAGAGGCCTCTCCTCAGAGTGGCCTTTACTCACAGCAGCCTTCCCTCAAGGAGGCCTTCCCTCAGAGTGGCCTTCCCTCAGAATGGACATCCTTCAGAGTGGCCTTCTCTCCCGGTGGCCTTTCCTCAAAGTGGCCTTCCCTCACAGTGGCCATAGTGTATACTGGGGGTGCCAAAAATGTATATACATTTTAAGAGATGTTGTCCATGTATTATTTTCAGGTCGCTGTAATCAGAAGTGTCTGGATGCTGATAAACCACTTTAAGCACCTCTTGTAGTTGCTGAAGTCAAATGTGATTTGTATTTGCCTTTTGTTATCAGTATATATTGAGTATTACAATTTCAATAGTTTTTCCTTTCTTAAAATGTGTCTACATTTTTCTTTGGCACCCTCTGTATATGCCACATTTTCTTTTTTCTTTCTTTTTTTTGAGCCAGTCTCACTCTGTCACCCAGGCTGGAGTGCAGTGACATGCTCACAGTCACCACAGCCTCAACCTGCTGAACTCATGTGATATTTCCGCCTTAGTCTTCCAAGTAGCTGGAACTACAGGCACACACCACCACGCCCGGCTAATTTTTTGATTTTTATTATAGAGATGAGGTCTCACCAAGTTGCCCATGCTGGTCTCGAACCTGTGGGCTCAGACAACCCTTTCACCTTGGCCTCCCAAAGTGCTGGGATCATAGGCATGAGCCACAGCGCCTGGCCTATACCACATTTTCATTATCCACCATCAGCTGATGGACACTTGAGTTGGTTCCACATCTTTGCGGCTGTGAACTGTGGTGCAATGAACATGTGGTGCAGGTGCCTTTTTCATATAACGGCCCCTCTTCCTTTGGGTAGATATCAACTAATGGAATTGCTGAATCAAATGGTAGATCTATTTTTAGCCCTTTGAGAAATCTCTATACTGTGTTCCATAGAGGCTGCATTAATTTACACTTCCACCAACAGTGTATAAGCAGTGCATTTTATCTGCATCTGTACCAGCATCTGTTCTTTTGATTTTTTAATAATGGCCATTCTGACTGGTATAAGGCAGTATCTCATTGTGGTTTTAATTTGTATTTCCCTGATGATAAGTGATGCGGAGCACTTTTTCATGTTTGTTGGCTATTTGTATATTTTATTTTGAGGAGAGATGTCTGTTCATGTCACTTGCACTGCTCCCCCCCCTTTTTTTTTTTGAGTTAGAGTCTCACTCTGTTGCCCAGACTGGAGTGCAGTGGCACACTCACGGCCACTCCAGCCTCGACCTGCTGGGCTCAGGCGATCCTTCTGCCTCAGCCTTCCAAGTAGCTGGAACCACAGGCAAGCATCACCATACCTGGATAACTTTTTGATATTTATTGTAGAGATGAGGTCTTGCCAAGTTACCCAGGCTGGTTTCAAACCCGAGGGCTTAGGCAATCCTATCACCTCAGCCTTTCAAAGTGCTGGGATTATAGGGGTGAGCCACTGCGCCTGATCTCCCGACTTTTTAATGGAATTATTTGCTTTTTTCTTGCTGATTTGAGTTCCTCATAGATTCTGGATATTAGTTCTTGTCAGATGTATAGTTCGTGACTGTCTTCTCCCATTTTGTTGGTTGCCTGTTTGATCTGCTGATATTTATTTTTGTTTTGGTTGCATTTGCTTTTGGAGTTTTAGCCATAAATTCTTTGCCTAAGCCAATATCCAGAAGGGTTTTTCCTCGGTTTACTTCTAGGGTTTTTATGGTTTCAGGTCTGACATTTAAGTCTTTAATCCATCTTGAGTTAATGTTTGTTTATGGGGAGAGATAGGGATCAAATTTTATTTTTCTGCATGTAGCTATCCAGTTTTCCCAGCACCATTTGTTGAATAGGGTATCCTTCCCCTGGTGTATGTTTTTGTCTGCTTTGTCAAAGATCAGTTGGTTGTAGGTATTTGGGTTTACTTCTGGATTCTCTATTCTACTCTACTGACCCAAGTATCTGCTCTTGTACCAGTGCCATGCTGTTTTGGTTACTACAGCCTTGTTGTCTGTCTAGTTTGAAGTCAGGTAATATGATGCCTCCAGCTTTGTTATTTTTGCTTAGGATCGCTTTGGCTATTCTGGCTCTTTTTTGGTTCCATAAGAATTTTCGGACAGGAATATTATGTTGGGTCCACTGTGGGGTAGGGGAAGAAGAGGGTCTGGTCATCTCATGACTGGCATTTAGAGGGTGGGGCCAGGGATCACACAACCTGTGAGGAAGGCAGAGTGCACAATGCAAGTGAAAACCTGTTAATAATTACCAGAGCCAAAAATCAGAGTCCATTGTACACATAAATAACACAAAGGATTTCTGCATTCATCATGTGCAATGACTTTTCTGGGAATGCCGCTACTGTGTCAAGTGGAGGAAACTTGTACCTTCTTTAGCTCAGAACTTTACCAATAGTTCTTTGTTGTATCAGACATTGACATCACCATAATACTCCAGTATCAGTCTGCACATACAGCTGTCACCTTCCCGGCAAGTGACCAC